CTGTAATTACATCAATATGACACGTGCGCGTGTTTAAAATTCAACAAGAGGAGTGTGTGTACCTAGGTTAATGAAGGTGTGTGTACCTAGGTTAATGAAGGTGTGTATACCTAGGTTAAGGAAAGCGTGTTCTTAGTCTAATGAAGGTGTTTGTACCTAGGTCAATGAATGTGTGTGTACCTAGATCAATGAAGGTGTGTGTATACCTAGGTTAATGAAGGTGTGTGTACGTAAGTTAATGAGGGTGTGTACCTAGGTTAATGAAGGTGTTTGTACGTAGGTTAATGAAGGTGTGTGTACCTAGGTTAATGAAGGTGTGTGTACCTAGGTTAATGAAGGTGTGTGTACCTAGGTTAATGAAAGTGTGTGTACCTAGGTTAATGAAGATATGTGTACCTAGGTTAATGAAGGTGTGTGTGTACCTAGGTTAATGAAAGCGTGTGTACCTAGGTTAATGAGCTCAGGAGTAGAGGTAGAGGAGTTTTCAATACTGAGGTGAACAGTTTGATGAAACCTAAAATAAAATACTTATTGATTCAATATGAGATTCCATTACTTTTTGTTTTAGCAAAATGTGATTACTGTTCACTAAACTGAGCAGCTTCATTTGAAAATTTGGATAGGAAATGCATTTATGCTTAAAAATCTTTTCCCCATGATTCGAATATTATGGACTGTAACCTAATTTTGGATCATTATCTTCAAGGTTAAAACAATTGAAGACATTGTCATGTAACGAAAGGGATAACGGAATTTTTCTTACAAACTACCTAAGTATGTATAAGTATCTATTATGAAAAAAAATATTGTCAATCAAATTTCTGTACAGGAAGCTTTCAATAATTTTCATCTATTTGCGACTAAATGAAATATTACAGGAAGTGGGTATGTTATTCCATAAAGTGACAGGAGTTTTTGTGAACATGTATTCATTAGTTAAGAAAATTTTTTAATCCTATTTAACTAGGTTCTTTTTCATATTAACAGTAGAAAGCAGATGTTCTTGCCCCCCATTTGAATGCCTGTGTCCACCTCAACATGTTGTTACGCCAATTGAAAGTGACTACTCATTACCAGGGCGACTGCCTCTCTTCACATCTGATGTACCAACGTACAACCAGCCTGATTACAGTCAGGTCGATTCAGCCAATATGGCGAACGTTATGTCGTCTGCCATTGAGATGCATGCCGATTCTATATTCCAGGCTATAGACAGTATTCTGAATGAGGACCAATCTTGGGAGAGAGAGCCTCCCTTGTATCTTAATTATGATAGTGCAAATAACATTAGCCAGAAATGTGAAGAAGGTGTTCAGTCGGCCCGGTCCTGTGACTTCAGAGGCTACGAATATTACGTTGAGAATGATAAAAAAGATTTTCCATGTGTCCCAGAAATGCTTCATGTCAACATTAATAATTCAAGTTCTGCTAGCCTGGTTCCTAATGACCAAAGCAAACTTTCACATATACATCCTCAGGATGATCTCGATCTCTTTCACCCAAGAGACATTTTAGCGTTGGACCACCCGATCAACAAAATCCCTTCTTCTGTCGATTCATGGTCAGACTCCTCCTGTCCACAAGATGACTATGTGATGACTCAGCTGGGTAATGTGCCCACATCTCAATCCATCCTCGTTTCAGGCATGGACAGTTTTTTTCGGGAGGGGAACGAATCTCCAGCTTATATCGTTCCAGGGACTCCAGTGATACAGCGGTCAGCGGATGTATTTCCTCAAACAGGACACGGAATATCGTCCTGGAATTGCTGTTCAAATTACCCCTCGCCACCAAAATGTTCCAAATTCGCCAATGACTATAAAGCTCAGGTTTCAAGAACGACTTCCCTTGAATCTCAGATGGGTGAAACTACATACAGTTCGGTGTTCTCTTTTACTAGAAATAGCTATTATAATCCGAATTACCTGGATTCTCCCTTTTTGTCAAATAATAGCATTGGCGACACAACCGATCTGTTCCACGTGACCAGTCGACAATTTCTGTCTGATGGCTCAGTTCCAATTAACGCTTAAAATTTGGAAATTGGTATTATTCAAAACGTCAAGCCAATGGGTAAAAGCATACAGTGATCAGGATGGAGTCATGGTACAGGAATGGCGTAAGCTGAAAACCTCACCTCAAAAGATAAACTCGGATTCATAACTCAAGAGTTCTTGCAGTAAGGAAATGCACTGCATGCACGAGGAATTATAATAAAAACGTTTCAAATCAAGTTAAATAAATAAAAGAGTATCTGAATGATATTACTGTTCCCATACAACAAAAAGACACTTTTCTGCACCATTTACAGAGATCTCGTTTTTGTCATATAATAGTGGTTTTCCATGTGAACTTTGACTTTTAAAATGTCATATAAAATATTTTCTTTCAGTTGTTCTAAATCATTTGTTGCACTGCACATCTGTATATATTAAATCATATAAAATATAAAAAACGACTGTGGCTTCAGTTTATTTTATTCGCTTTATCTGGTTCACTGAAAGACTAAAGTGGTTTAAGATACGTGGCCGTAACTCTGTTTTCCAAGTTCTCACATTAGGTTGTGCCGTGACTTTCCATATTCTCCTCACATCAAGCTGGAAATAACCCTACTTTAAAAACACGCACATACCCTATTTAAAATTCATAAATATCATTTCGCACTATCATCTTCAAACCTAAACGGAACTTAAAACTTATCTGAAACAAAACCAATAAATTCCTTGGTAAAGTGAAATTTTTTTCAAATTTCTGCCCAAATTAGTACATCTTTATTTTCCTATTACACAGTTAGATATTTATCTTTGTCGAGAATACTGCGTTTTTGTTTTATAACAATGTGCAATCTGTGCTCTGTTTACTTCGGGAATAGAACCCCGGATATTAGCGCTGTAAGTCCATAAACTTAACCGCTAATCCACCGGGGGATGATACTTATCAGAAGTCCATTACATACAAATAGGTAACAATAGCTTCTTCGTTCTTTCAAAATGCTTATTACGAAAAATGTTGCGCCAATTTAGATTGCTGCAGGAACTATTTTCGTAAATACTCAAAACTCATATTGATCTTCCTGATTTTCTGAAAGTAATAATAATTGATATTTATATCTCATATAATAATGTCAAAATATAAATCAATATATTTTCATTCTCCGTCTTATAATTACAACCTTTCATCACACTGTTGTACAGGTTGAGTACGTTATATTAAAACGAAAGGGTAAAGAAATAACTTTTTCAAAAGATGAAATAAATGTAGGGATGGCTAATATCAATCTATCAAAAACAATGCAAACAAGATAATAGGAATGGCATTTGCATCATCCCTACATAGGTAATGTTACCGCCTAGCTGATAAGAAAATCATGTGACCAGTGGAAGACCATTTGTCATTTGTTAAACAGGGTTTTTCAAAACCAGAATAAAGATGATGGAAGGAGGGACAGTTACTAAGGCAATCATGGAAGCAGCACTGAACATATGTAATCAAGCCAAAAGGCACAAAACTTCCCGTACTTCTCAGCTTAATAAGCAAGAAGGTGATACCCAACAGAGAATGAAAAAAGGAATTACGTCTATACTTGCTTTAGACCAATGAAACATCACATTAAGAAGATATTGGCAAAAAAAAAAAGAGGAAGAAGATGGGAACGATATGTATCAGTATTACATTTTGACATTGTTTGTTTGGAGTAACGTAATTACTGTGATGCCATCGAATACTGATCGCTTTTGGGAAAGATATGTAACAGCCCTTTCAGACACAAAATACTTTCACATCCACATCACAAAAATGTATTCAAATCGTAGATTTAGAATTTCCAAGGGGAGAATACTCCTTATAATTAATGGCACTGGAAAACAAAGGAATGCGGATTAACTAAGGACAACAAGACCACTCAGAAAGATACATTCAACAAGTTGTATCCCAGGCCATGGTAATCAAAGTGCAGCGTTTTGCAAGAGGTGGAAATCCCCGAAAATCCGTCCAGTTGCCCCAAGTAACAGTATGCAATAATAAAGAAAGATTTCAGTCTAAAAAAGTAACACAATCACATGTACAAAAGTTGCTTTCACGACATATCAGTTCGAACATCCCATACCTCAAGCAGCTAGAGAATGAAACGGATGTAGATACTATTCCATATGAATACATACCGGTAAAGTCGTGGGACGCAGCGCCTATGATTTTCTGTGCAATCAGACTGTTGAAACGGGCGCTGAAATACTGTCGTCCTCGTACACTAGATGGATTATGGCAAGCCTGCATGGAGGAGAGGTGTACTTTAAACACGGCAGTCTTAAGATAAAGCCTTTTGCAGTGAAACCTACACTGCAGAGTTTGGTTTGAATTTCGTGCAAAGCCACATGAGGGCTATCTGCGCTAGCCGTCCCTAATTTAACAGTCAAAGACTAGAGGGAAGGCAACTAGTCATCACCACCCACCGCCAACTCTTTTACTAACGAATAGTGAAATTGACCGTCACATTATAACGCCTCCACAGCTGAAAGGACGAGTATGTTTGGTGGGACGGGGATTCGAACCCGCGACCGTCAGATTGCGAGTCGAGCACCCTAACCACCTGGCTTACACTGCAAAGATATTGACACTATGCACGGTCATCAGATAGAGAATGACCGGACGTTGCGACATGATCTGTAACGACGTGGTGAGACTCCAAAATCGTTTTAATATAGAGTACTCGACCTCTTTAGGTAAATTTACCAATACAAATGATTTTATAACCTAATCTTCAAATAAAATATATTTGAAAGACAAAATTTACTAGAAGTAGGTTAATCTGAAAACAAATGTATCGTTTTATATCTTTAGTAAGTATTATAAAAACAAATATCACACCACTTTTATATATTTTTATTTGTAATTAAGAAATATGACGTATGTGTCGCTAAATAATATATTGCGAAAAAATGAAGTTCGAATTACGATTAAATACTACTCAAAATGAGACATGGTTTTAATATTTTTTTTATTGATGTGCAAAATATATACAGAACCAAATGATATAAAACGACGGCTAATTACCCGACACTCTAGGATCACTTCAGATTTACAATGTGAACAGCCTGTTCTATTTACAGAAATCAAGTAACTAAATATTAATTATTTTACATAATGATAAAACGCGAGGGCATTTCTGAACACATTTTATTGCATAAAACAACAAAAGATCATGTCAGAATTAGCAAAATATCGGCGAACACGTTGTAGCATTTTTTTCATCATCAAACTATGCAACTACAATTTTTTGCAAATACATATCAAAATAAACAGTTGCAAACTTTTTTCTTGTAAAAATTATCTTTATTGAATGTGGTCCACGAAATTTAATCCTAAAATCTATCGCATAAAATGTACAACACAAATACCCAGAGTATTCTAAGTATACAGGCCCAGCTTCTAATTGTTAAACATCAAAATCGCTTTGCTTGAACTAATAATTTTACTATGCACCTACCAAAGAACCCCAAATCCAAGCAACAACAAAATGCAGCATGGAATCGTGGATGTCTATACATCAGATATTACAAACAATTTATAAAGAATACATTTGATGACGTGACAGTTAAAACTATAATCTAGGCTCAGTTAAAGGCATGAAGAAGAGAAAGAAATCAAAACTCTCAAACATTGTGGCTTGTATAGATAAGTTTATATTTTGTGTGGTCTTAACAATAAACTGTGTAAATAAGCTTGAATAAAGGATTTTTAGGAGATCGAAAATGAATGATTATGTGGTTCGTAGACAGATATATAAAACTTTCACAAAAATTCAATTTTACAGATACCTAGAAATTGACGAACTTTGAAATATAGGCAAGTTTCAGATAGAAAGTGAAATAAGTATATTTAAGGTTGGCAAAATATGAGATTATAATTATACTTGACATATATTTAACATATCCATTGCTGGTGACTATAACAACTGTTGTATCAAATGGCTTATATAAATCGTGTTCCGACCACTACTGTGTTTGTTGTATACCAGCCGGCCTGAAGAACTTTGAAACACGTCGTCGGCAATGGATATGACAAATACAGTGTGCTTGGAATACTATTATTATACTCTCGTCTCAATCTTGAAAATCCCTAAAGGACCAGTTTAAGAATGTAGTGCTTACAAATGTAATAGGCCTAATACTAATGTCTTATGACAAGTATAATTGTAATCATTCTTCGCCAGCTTGTAAAAGGCGTACACACCATAACAATGAATGTAAGATTGTTGAAAGAAATTAACACCAGGAAACTATGATAATGAGATGTTGAATTAGAATTATCATTTATTTTTACAATGTGTTCAGTCTTCAGATTATTGACGATGATTGAATAATAATGAACTACTATGACTATAGATTGTTATAGGGGTATAAAGAGCTTCATAAAGTATATATCTGCAGAAGTGGTGAAGAAATAGAAACAGATTATGGTGCTAGGGCTAAAAATAAAACTTATGTGAGATCACTTTGGAGAAATTCAGTCTTTTAACAGTTCTCTGTCAATAGTTATTAAATTAACAAATTCTAACTTTTTTAATGATACATCTCATAATGAAGTATCAATTAAAAGTTTGTGATTTTTTAATTATTTAATCAACATTCTTGGAATTTGTATGAGAATTGAAATAAAACATGATGTGCATTTATGAGAACGTATTTTTTTATTTAAAACTATAATTGCTATAGTTTAAAGCTAATAGCCTTGTTGAAGTATTTAATACCAAGTTAAAAAGATACTTCGAAAATTATTGTTAAAAGTAAAATTATGACCCAAAAAATTAATATAAAGTTTATTCGAAACACCATATTCTCAAGCCTTTTAAAACAATAAAAAGCAAAAACAACACGGGTTATGAGAGTTAGGAATGTATAATTGTAAGTTTCATTGATTTAAGAATTCACAAAAACATTTGTTTAAAATACACAGCTAAAATATTTTTTTGAAAAAGATAAAGAGGTGTTCTTTAATTACATTAACAGTTTTATTGATAACTATCTATGGATATATAAAAAAAACAGAGCTTTCGTCAATTAAAAGTAAAACAAAACAAATGAAGACTATTTTAGACGTGGCTATATGTACTAAGTAGCAGATAGCAACTATGTAACAGCCACCAAGCCTAATGATGCAAAATCAGGTCCATCAGTTGTGCACTTACTAATAGAAATTTATAAGACCTTAATTAATCTTTTTATATTATTATCAACATTCGAATTAAAAGTTTTCATCATATTATTTGGTCAAACAAGATAAAGTTGACCATTATAACACATTGGTCTTTAATAGACGCACTGCTGACCAAATTATCTCAATTCACATACAGTTATATTTTTATCTTGGTAAATATCACAAAACAAATTGAGAGATTTTAAACACAGCCTAAATATATTTCGGAACTTGAATAATATATCTTTAACATTTCACCTAGATATCAAATATATGCTAAGATTTTAGCGAGTAACTAATAATTTTGTGAAGATTCAAAATCGTTCTAGAGAAACGGTCTTGTTGTGATTCTATCCAAAGAAGCCCACAGTATAAACTCTTTGTGGTAGAATATGTAACCAAATACACACGAGTATGTAGTCTGTGGATAACACGGAACACAGAAGTCCGTTTTATAAACAACCGTACGTCTTTCTAATTTTGATGGTATCAGCATTGAACATTTCACACTGAAAAATTAAATACTTAAGAAAAAAAGCCAAGTGAATGCCTGGCGTTAGAATATCATCACACATAAAAAACAATCAATCAAAAGCAACAATTGTCATCACTCTCTCTCTCTCTTCAAATACGTGTAAATAAATATAAAAAATACAAATAATAAAACAAAATTCTGCGTAGTGGACTCGATTATATAAATCCGTAGAACTATCTGGGGTAAACCTGGTTCCGGTAGAAAACTATTCGTTTGTAACGATGAAAAATATTGGATTAAATCAAAGTTCTCCTATCGTTCTCTTTCGTTCCGTTGTGAGTGGGATAGCAAACTGTTTCCTACTACAAACATGGCTGCTAAATATAATAACAGATTCTTCATATAGTAGATGCAGTCAAATTTCCATTTCCAGTGTGTTTTCTACCCGTGCTGCCACCTCGCGGTTGTCGGCGTGACTGAGTCTCTTTGCTCCAGGATTTAGCTTTTATCCTATAGAATCTGCTACCAACAGAAAGCTTGTAACGATTTTGGGCCTAGTGTTAAATAAACGAATAGGTGGTCAAAAATTATTAACTCTTCTTTAAAGATAAAACAAAAATATAAATAATCTAACTAGCATAATTTCAACACTTATAACAACATCAAAAGACTTGCAATCGAAGCAATCAAGTTTTAAATAAGAAATTTTTCTTGAGAAAAAAGAACCCAACAAAAACAGTACAAATAAGGTAAAAAATTATAGATAACTACGAAAAGTGTAAATTAAATAATTTACTAATCATGATTTAGAAAATACGACTGAACTAAAAATATCAGGATCATTTGAAAACGAAGATAATTAAAGGTAATATTATCAGTTTAACTACACACAGTGTTTCGCGTGTATGTACGATTGTTTGTTTGTTATGTATTTCGCGCAAAGCTACACGAGCCGTCCCTAATTTAGCAGCTAGTCATCACCACCCACCGCCAACTCTTGGGCTACTCTTGTACCAACGAATAGTGGAATTGACCGTCATATTATAACGCCGCCACGGCTGAAAGGGCGGGGATTCGAACCCGTGACCCACTGATTGCGAGTCGAGCACCCTAAACACCTGGCCATGCCGAGCTTGTGTATGTACGAATCAGTAAATAAACATAATTTCGTACTAAGATATCTTGAATTATTTTTCTCTTGAAAAATATCATTCAATTAATTGCATTTTATCATAAATGGTTGATAGTGTGACCGGCATCCACTATAAATGTACATATATATATATATATTGTTGCAACATGGTATATGATAAATTCAAAATGCAAGTCAATTCAATAGTATAAAACATATTTTAAATGTTTAAAGTCACAGAAAAATAATGTGCAAACCTATCATTAGATAAATTTTATAAAAATTAACAATGATAACAACTATCAGATTTTGTCCTTGGAATAGGCTTGTTACATGAGGTGACAAGTATCAAGCCGTTGCAAACGAAGCCTCGATGTATTTATGCACACAAGTTTGTAATTGCTCCTACTAAGTAGGCATTACTAGCCTTACTGGTAAAACGTACTATTAGTATAATATATACATGCATTTAATGTGACTATGTCTTGCACAAGTGTTACTAGTCTTTTCAATCGTACACAACCCACAAGGAATTCATTCACTTCTATTCGTATGAAATGATAGAACGTGCAAAGTTTTGATGTAATAAATCACTTACGCGAAACGTTTGCCAAGCTATTGTTTGTACAAAAAAAAAGTTCCAATAAACAATAATCACAAAACCTTTTCAATTTTAATTATATCCACCACCGCCACTTAAAAAAAAAGGATAAAACTGAAAATTCGCGGCACAAAAGGGGTATAGTTAACTATACTGCGACAGCTAGTTAACCTAGGTCACAGCAGAAACGGTTACACTAGTCGAAGGTTCCCAAGGTTGCCTTGGGAAACAATGGTTAAAAAAAAAAGTCAAGCAAGAACGGTCAAAATGGGAATAAGTTTTAAACCACCACAGCGGATGATTCAATGGGCGAAAGGGCGTTAAAAGCAAAGATAATAGCAGGAAAGATCACAAACATGAAATGTGTTAGCTAGATGCAAACAAACCCCACACAGATGAACATGGATATAGAATGATTAAGGTTATTTAAAGAGCTTCACCGAGCGATCTATTTATAAAATGGTAGTCTGAGCATTAATGTGTTCTCCTTCTATCAGTCACACTGTATTACTGAGAGCTCTTGATAGTACATTATCATGAATTCTGATTATAAAGGCGCTAGTCTGTGCATCACTATACATTCTGTTCGTAAAGGTGAAAGTCTATGCTTTGATGTATACTCTCTTTATAAAGATGGTAGTCTGTGCAAATGTTCCTTTTCTTAAATAAAATGTCTATCAATTCTTCTTTTTCTTGTTATTAAAATTCAGACATCAGCTTAACCACGTTTAATGCACTGATTGCAAAACAATGGGCACTGACCTGCTCTTTAGGATAACACTATGAAACATTTTTCTACATTTAATTAACATAAATGGATAAAAGTCAATGAAATAAACTGATAAAATCTGTACTATATTTCAAAATAAAGCAAGTACAGTTCTTACTAACAAAATGTGATCCAGTATTTTTTTCTTTTAGCAAAAAAGCACTTTTATTTCAAATGAAAGCAAAATACAATACAAATCCATTGATTCATATTCTCATTTACTTACTGGCTATATTTATAGTGTCTCATTAGTAGACTACAGTTCCCAAATACTTACATCGCTGGTTTTGTAATAACCCAAGAGATCTCCACTCTCAATTAGGTAGTGAAACATGAACTTTTACGAAGTTAATGGGTTATCTAGTAAAAACTATAAAACTACAAAATGAATGTTGTGAATTTTTTAATTGGGTATCAATGTTTAATGTTCATCTGTTTCATGAAATTCCAAGCTATGTTAAAAAGATGAGTTGACACAAGTGTTTTCGCCAACTTAGTTAAATGGTTAACCTCTAACTGCTACTATAACAATGTATTTTGTAACTGTACAAATTTTAATCATAGCCAGTTACTTTCAAGTTCATGTGATGAAGAGATTGTTTTTACTTGAAACTAGTATCTCAGAATTGGTTCAATCATTTCTTGATTTGCAATTGCAAACAGAATGATTCATCCAGAAGTTCACACACACATTGGCTCTTTGAAAATGTTAGATATTACTTACTGCCTATCATGTATTTTGGAAACTATTTGCTGTATACAAGGTCAGAAAATATACAATGCTAATTACTGTAACTGATTCCTGAAAAGCTCTAAACCTTTACTACATGAAAGAAAATTATAACCAGTAACCAAGCTCCTGTACTGAAAATCACTAAAGGAGGGATCTAGTCTTTAAGTATTAGCTCATGAATAAAAATACATTTAACATTAACACTCATTTTTTAAATCATGTTTATTTTATTGGAGGAAACAATAAAGTGAAAAAAAGGCTTTTCTTTTCAAGCATCTATTGTCACTTTAGAGTGAGTTGTTTCAAGAAAATCATGTGATAAAACTTAAATTTTTCTGGCTATTGATTATCTTGATCTGAAGTACATCTTATGAATTAAAAATCAAATTCAAATAGTATACAATAAAACATTTTTGGAAAGAACCAATAATCATATGAAGACTCCGCGTTATTCTATTATATATTTTTGAGACAAACGTGTCCAGCTGCTTAAATCGTCAATAATGAAAGACCATCTTAGTAAATGATAAACAGCCTCTTTGAGTTGTTTTTTAACTTCTTGTAATACCTAACTAGTGAGGATGCTCAATAACATAAGCTTTGGCCTTGAATTATTATAGATAAGATCAAACGATCTATACTTAAAATCCTTACTCAGATTTATGATTTAGTAAGATTTTTTTCCCTTTTTTGATCTAATAATGCAAAAAAATCTATTCACATGACTTTGGCTCATAAACACCACATCTGTACTTATTTCCAGAAATCTATAAAATTTTGAATTAAATTTGGTCAAGTTCTGTGAAACAGATTTTAACGTAGTGGTGAAAAGAAGAAAAACAACAAAATAAAACAAAACAGCACCTACTACAAACATACCGTAGGTGTAAACGTGTTTTATAGTCACTATGAGAAAAACCTATACAATGGACAGGTGAAGTGAACAAAAGTGTCATTGGCCACAACTCAGTTCTTCACATATTCACTTTTTCCTCACTTCACCTATCCAATGTATAGGTTTTTCTCATAGTGACTATAAAGCACGTTCACACCACAGTATGTTTGATACTTTTCACTATGATATAGGTCTCTTTGGTTAACTTGTGTTCAGTGTCACAGATGAGTACTGGAATTTTCCGAAACTAGTATAACCCAATAACATACAGATTGAACTGGACCTCCCTTGAACTTAGACTTCGATTTTCGGAATACTATGTTTATCTATTAGTACCTACTACATATCGGAAAAGGAGAAACAAACAAGTGGTTGTGAGAAAAAATATGTACTTGTAATTGGAAAGCATCATTTTTACTTAGTTATTAATTATGCAACAAATTATCACGAACATTGACGTATACAGCACTAACTTTAGTTTTAATGCTATGGCTGTGTAGACGTTTACTTGTAATTATTCATAGAATCGATACCTTTTGATTCAAGTTTGCAGCAGAGACGTCTTAATTTATTTTAAGGGAAAACACTGGTCTATTAATGCAACTAGGTTTTAAATTTTACAATTTATTTCAGTAAAAGTGGGTGCAAATCATGTGAATTATATGCCTAATAACACGAACATGTCACTTAAACATATTCCTCACAGAGATGACATAGTTACTTTTTTCACATTTTAAGTTGTTTGATTTTAAACTTAACGCCTTTAATTTTATGGGATAAGATAAAGATACATCACATTACCTAGTTTTACTGTTGTTTCTTAATTTGTCATACAACAATAACAACCACTAGGCACACTGACATTCATTTTTTCTGTTTTGTTTTGGACTAGAGATATAAGGTTCCCTACGGTACAAAAACGGTTCAGCACACAGATTTCGGCAGGTGTCTCTAGTACGTGGCTGAATGTTAAACACCATCCCGCATGGCCTCACACAGAAGCGCCACCAAACGGATCTTTGCTTCAACCTCTTCAATCTCAACATTTGTATAGACATAAGGAATTAGATAACAGTAATTGGTGTCGTGTGTCAGCAATTGTGAAAGACACCCAACGGTGCGGCCCGCAATCTAAAAGCACCTGCCAGAGCACGTGCCACGTGCTGGTAAAAGGCCGTCGATTAATTCTTTGGTAGCACAGAGGGCGTCAATACAATGCGGGCTGTTAGGCTGAAGCAACAGGTGCGGTCTAATTAGTAGGGCTGGATTCAAGAGATCATCTTGCACCATACAACATATATTCAAAATCCATCTTTGTCCTCACTTCACCTGCTCAACGTCATCGTCAAACTTGTTGCCCCTGTCCACCCTCCAGCTTCAGGAATCAGCTGCTTTAGAGCTGAGACAGCAAATAAAGTAAACAA